TGAAGTCTAAAGTAAGTTACGGACTTTGGGTAATAATGTGTCATTCATTGATTCTGGGTAATTGATTTTGGGTAATAATGTGTCATTCATTGATTCTAATAAATGGACCACACTGATGGGGGATATTTACAGTGGGGCAGGCTGTGCCTGGGTAGAGACAGGGAATATATGGGGACTCTATGTAATTTATGCTCAATTTTGCTGTGAAACTAAAAAATGAATATTTTATTTGTTATTTATAACATTTATAAACATTTTTATTTATAAAAAATAAAGTCTATTAAAAAAAAGTAAACAGAAAAGACCAATTACCTACAAAGAAGAAATGGACTAATACTTGATTTCTCTTGAACTACAATGGAAGCCAGAGACAGTGAAATGATTGCTTCAGTTGTTGAGAAAAAACAATTGCCAATCTACAATTCTGTAGCCAGTGGAAAAAAACACACTGTCCAAAAATAAGGGTTAAATGTAGTCATCTCTATCAAACAAAAACTAAAATTGTTTGCTACCAGTCAGCTTTCACTAAGGGGAAATTGAAAGGATGTACTTCAGGTGGAATTAAAGTGATTTGAGATGGAAAGTCTAGGGATAAAAAAAAAAAATGAAGATCAGAAAAAGTGGTAAAAAGTGTTTGCAAAAAATGGCCACACTTACATCTCTCTTGATATCTACACCCCTTTGCAATGTGATTTTGCAGTTCCTTTTATCAAGGGGTGGAATCTATTTCTTTTGAATTTGGGTTTGGCCTAATTCATTCCCAAAGCAATGGGAGGTGGCAGAAATGATGTGCCCGTTGTAAACTGCTTTTCATTATCTTGGATCCCTAAACTGTCATGTTAGCAAACCCAGGCTAGCCTGTTCGAGAGTGAAAAACCACATAAAGGAGCTGAGCTAGACCATTATAGATCTGTTTGGTTCCCAGATGACCTGCCACCTGATAGCAGACTCATATGTGAGCTCAGCTGAGATCAATTTAAATTGGCCTAGCCCAAGTAAAACAGCCCAGCCTACCCACAGTCTCATGAGAAATAATATATAGTTATTATTCTAGGCCACTAAGTTTTGAGGTGATTTGTTATTTAGTTAGGAGCCTAGGGGTTAGCAATAGATAATAATGGTATAAATCAATACTAGCATGTAGGCTAAAAAATAAGACAGAAATAAAAATATATAATAGATAGCGTTGACCAGAATTAAAGTGTTTTAAGGTTAAAAAAAGGAGGCGTTTATTTTTCTCGAATAATATGAACATCAGTGGTAAGCATTTAGAGCTGGTACGGTTGCTCAAGGAATTTATCAAGGACCCAGACTCTCTCCACTCCTAGTTATCTACTCTATTCATTCCTAGTTTCTCTAGGAATGGTGGTGTAGATGGTGTTATGGACACCATCCTTATGCTCACAAAATGGCTGCTATACTTCCAGGCGTTGCAGCTTTGTTCCAGATGGAAAGAAGGTGAGAATGTGATGAGTCTTTATAAGGAAAACAGTATGTTCCAGACAAGCTCTTCCTGGTAGACTTCTTATATTTTACTGGCTAGAACTCTGTCCCGTGGTCATATCTAGGTGCAGATGCCTGGGAAATTAAGATTTTTAGCTAGGTGAATGGCTTTTCCAAAGGAAATGAGGATTCTGTTCATAAAGTGAATGAATGTAGGAATGAATATAGTTTAGGCAACTAACCATCTCTGCTCTCCATTTAGGAGAAAACATTTTACCTGAGGGAATAATCCAAAAGGAAAAGCAAACAATGTGCTTGGCATAAAGACTAAGAGGTAGCATTGTGCATAGGACAAGGCATTGGAGGGAGAGTCTCTTAGTCCTGGCTCTGAAGCTGACTTGCTGGGGGCTGGTCCTCAGTTTCTTCCCCATCAAATCAAGACAGAGTAAAAAAGCCTTTTCCAGAGCCATAGAGACTGTGAAGGGAATTCATATTAGTGATAGATTTTTTCATGTGCATAGCTCATTTAGACCTTACAACAAATATATGAGTCAGTGTCATTATCCCATCTCACACTGGGGGATGTGAAATCTCAGAGAAATCAAGTGGCATGCACAGATCCTACATCTAGTAAATGGTAGAGCCGGAATTCAGCTAGGCCTCCAAAGCCAGAGGCTTCTTTCCACTGCCCTCCCTTTCTCAAAAGGTAAAATAAGTACACGCATTTTTATTTACTGAATTTCAAGATAACACTTTCTAAACCAGTGTCTTTCCAAGTGTGGCCTGGTGACACCCGCCTCAGAATCACCCGGGGCCTCTGTTCCATATGCAAAGTCCTGGACCTCTTTCAGATGAACTGAGGCAGACTCCCTCGGGCTCACACCCGGGAATCTGCATTTTTTAAAAAGTTCTCCAGTTAATTTGGAGACGTTTTAAAGTTTGAGAACTATGATTTTAAACTTATAATTTATTGTTCCATTCCAATGTAGTTTATTTGTGGATCCATGGCTCATGGAAATTTCTTCCTAATATCAGGAAAGTAAATTTTAAAAATAGTCTGTTTCTCCTTCCTGTTCTTCAGTGTTCTAACGAAGACACTCGATTCCATGGAAAATGTTAAGGAACTGGAAGTGTGTCATAGAAGATAACCCAACACTGATTAACAGAGGCTCTGTAAGGCAAAGGCACAGGTTAACCGAACATGAATGTTGATTAGAATCAAACAGAGCCTGAAGGGGCTGGGCAAAGGAAATGGCGTTAACTAAATATTTACTATGTTCTTTTAAAAAAATGTATTTACTATGTTCTAGACACTGTTCCAGACACTTGACGTCATCTAAGGGGCCCAAGACATGTGATCCAATCCCTTTTATTTATAAATGGGGTAAGTACAATATTTCATTTTATTTTTTAATTAAAAAAATATTTATTTGACACAGAGAGAGCGAGCATGTGCACAAGCAGGGGGAGCAGCAGAGGGAGAGAGAAGCAGGCTTCCCGCTGAGCAGAGAGCCCGATGGGGGGCTCGATCTCGGGACCCTGGGATCATGACTGGAGCCGAAGGCAGAGGCCCAACTGACTGAGCCATCCAGGGGCCCCTACAATATTTCATTTTAGAGATGAAGAATCTAACAAGAGAATCTGATGAGAGGACACCTCACTTGTCTGAGGAGACTCATTCATTCATTCATACAATAAATATCTCCTGAGCTCTCATGGAAGACACTGAGACTAGAGCAGTGGAAAAACAGTCTACAGACATCAGGTATCCTAAGACCTGGACTTAACCCTCCACATCTCCTCTGAAAAGACTGGAACTGAGAGCTCAGATTGGGACTGGAACCAGCTTGAAGCTGTCTTTGCCTGCTTGGTCGGCCCATGGCAGGGAGCAGGCGGAGAGCTTGTTGCTGATGGCCTCCAGCAACCAAGAGAGCCCAAGATAGCAGGCTATGCCATGTTTTTGTTAGTAGCTGCATCCCTAGGTAGGCAGTTCCATGTACAACCACCCGCCCCCCCTTACTCGTTCAGGGAAGAGGATGAAGTGTCTTGAGGAAGGGCCTAGAAATAGAACTTGAAAGAGGGGGAGAAGAAGCCCCAAATCTTTTATCTTCTCACTGACCTTGGGAGGTAGATATTATTTCCATTTTACAGATGAGGACATGGAGACTCGGAAAGGTTAACGGACTTGTTCAAATAAGAGTCCTACTCAGGAGGGGAATAGGGCAGGTCTCAGATCCCAGCTCCGACACCCCCACCCTGCTCTCTTACAGCTCTGGACGGAAGTCTTGGCAGGCAGGTCAAGTGCTCACGGAGGAGCAGCGCTAAAGTGATTTGCAAATCGATCCTAGAGGGTGACTCTGATTCCTGCTACCAAGGTTTATTTAATTCCAAGCTCAAATCACACAGAAAATAAAATTTTCTCCTTAAAAGGTTCTGTGGAAAAATGTTCTCTGTTCTATGTAACAGCCTCCTCGGCTGTGTTTGTGTCTGAAAAGAGGACTAGTCTGACAGGAAGAATTACAAATCTGGAGCTCATTTTGGTGTCCCAGAGGGAAGGTGGGTGGAGCGTCTCACAATAAATTAGGAATTCGGAATGAAAACGTAGCCGAGTTTATTTGGGTTTCTAGTGACACCTCAGAATTATTGTGCAGGCATGTCAGAGGCAAGTCAAATTATTGACTGCTCCCCCTCCGCCAAAGGAGGAGTGCTGCGAGCTAAGAAGAGGAGTCCTAGTCCTTTGGGGGTGAGGATGGGGTCCTTCCCTTTCCCACCTGGATTAGGAAGAGGTCAGAAGGAAGGAGTGTGATTTGGAGCTCCATTCTGGGTCTGCTCTTTGTTCCGAAGGAGAGAGGCTATTTGGGGGGGCGTGTCGGAGCTCAGGATCTGAATGAAGTCTGAAGCCAGGATTTCAGGACTTTCAGGGCCTGGAATTCGGTTGGGATTAGACACTAACAGCGGGAGGAAACAGAAGACTGAGTCGTATAGGGAAGGCACTGAGGAAAGATTTTGGGGGCATGTTGAAAGTTGACGCGTGGATCTGAGAAGTGGAAGTTGAAGGCTGCGTGACGATACCTCGGATCTGAGTGAACGTGTTGGGGATTGGTGGTGCAGGGTTGTGAATGGGGTTCGGGTGGGATTGGGGTCAGTACTAGATCTTACGATCTTCGAGAAGGCTACAAGAAAAGAGCCTAGAGCGGCCACAGCCTTTTTCCGAAAGCGACTCACACCCAGACACACCCCTCGCATAACCCTACACCTCCGGGGCCCGAGGATAGGCCATGCCAGGGCGCGCTACACCCTGCCTCTACCCGGCCTCCTCCTAGCGGGGAGCGGCTCTGGCTGGGGCAGGGGTCTGGCAGCACTGCCCCGGGGGAGTCTGGGGGCGTGGCCAGAGGCCGGCGCCCGCGGCTGTGGATTGGCTGTCCAGTGGGCCTGTAGGCGGGGCTCCGGGCTGGGTCCCGCTCGGCCGCTCGCAGACGGCCGGGAGGCGGGGCCGGCGGGAGCCCGGCAGCCAATGGACGCTCAGCCCCCGAGCAGTTACAAAGGGCCGGAGCGAGGCCGCGGCGGCGGCGGGAGGTGGGGCGAGGCAAGGCTTGCTGAGGCGAGGCGGCGGCCGGGCCGGACCGGGCCACAGGCGGTGGTGGCGGGACCATGGAGGCGGCGGCCGCTGCTCCGCGTCCCCGGCTGCTCCTCTTCGTGCTGGCGGCGGCGGCGACGCTGGTCCCGGGGACGACGGGTGAGCGGCAACGCGGCGGGGCTGGCGGGCGGCTGCGGGGCGCGCGGGCCGGGCCCGGCCTCTGGCTCGCTCCCTCTCTTTCTCAAACATGGCGCGGGGCCGGGGGCGCAGGTGGCGGCGCCCGCCCGGGGCCGGGCTGGCCTGGCCTGGCGGCCGCCACGCAAACCGCGGGCAGGGAGCGCGGGCGGGGCGGGGCGGGGGCGTGTGTCTGAGCGCGGGTGGATGTGCCCGGCAGCCGGTGGCGGCCCCTGCTCCCGGCTCCCCTGGGGGAGGTGTCGTCGGGTAGAGCGGTCCGAGGACTGGGCTGCCTTCTGGGGAGCGAGGGGGCGCGGACCGAGGGCCAGAGGGTGTGCGGCTGGCCGGGCCTGGCGGAGCCGGGGCGCTGTGTGGCGTTGTCTGGGCACCCCCCCACCCCCAAGCGGGAGGGTGCCCGGGGCTCCCGGAGCCTGGGGCGGGGTTGGGGTCGACCGAAGCTTCCCGGGCGGGGTAGGAACTCTGAGCCTGTCGGGCGGTGGGAGGGGGCGACGTGTGATGGAGACCCCCGGGTCACAGGGCCGCCCTGGCTGTGGTCGCCGGCCCGACCCCGCTGAGAGGGGCTGCTTCTCCAGTCTGGGGTGGCTTTGGAAGGGGAGTCGCGAAGCTTTGTGTGAGGAGGAGGAGGCACGAAGATGTGCGGAATGTTTCTTCTTTCGTGCGTCTGGGAAGTGTTGAAGTGAATCCAGTAACCAGAAGGCTACAGATTGTTTTCGTAGTAGAAACTTGAACGTTTGCTCACTCTGCGGGGTTTGGAATGTTTGAATGGAAATGACTCTGTGAATTGATCAAATGCTTTTATTTCCTCGAAGGAATATCGCTAGTGTTCCTTTTCTTGAGTGACAGTGGTTTGAATCAGTAGTCTCTGTGTAGTGGGCTTTCAAGGGAGAATGTTTGCTCCGTTTTCCAAAATACTAGATCAGGATGGGGTACGTGGTCATAACCAATCTCCCTGGAAAGAACAGTGAAAAACTTTGTTAACATCCAGATTAAAATACTAGAAACTGAAATATAGATCCTTAGTGTTAGAAACTAAATTACAGTGAAAGTACATTTCTGTCTCTAAAACTGAATGCCAAATGTTTTAAAAAACAAAAGCTCAAGAATGAGAGTGCCCGTAGCTGTCTGTTAAGAGCTTACTATGATGTAGACGCGTAAAGTACACCAGAGTATATTATCTAACGCTTATGATAAAACCCTCAGGGTTAGTGGCATTTGGCCCATTTATAGATGAGAAAACTGAATTTGGAACAGGTTAAATACTCAATTGCTAGGGACTGGAGTTAGGATTTGCACCCAGAGTTCAGTGTTTCCAAAACTTACGTGCTTTAATTAAAACAAACAAACAAACAAACAAAAAACCAAAGAAAACCCAAAAACTGTGTGTGTGTGTGTGTGTGTGTGTGTGTGTATACACGCACACACGTGACTGGCACAATCCATATTTCTATTCCGTCCACTAATGAATAATTGGTCTTTATTATCCAATTTTTAATTTTACCCTTACAATATATACAATATATAAATCAGGCTTCCTTCTGACTCCTAGCACATTCCTGGAGTCTCTTCATATTGGGCCTACGTTAGAGGAAACTGGATATTTGACGCTGGTCTAAGGAGTGGGGGCAAGGTAAATATGTGGACAGGTGGGAGAATCAATAGTTACCTATTGGCATTAAGTTCACTCTTTTCCACTTAGCCTGGCACACTAAGCGTTCATGTATTCAAGTAACAGTTTTAGACTTAATTGATATAAGCAACATTGCTCAGTCCATGTTTGGGAGAAGCTTATAGACTACACTGGCATGTATATGATACAAAGCTGGTTCAGGTGAGTAATAATTCTTGAGTCTAGACTACCTCAACTGGTCTGCCCACACTTGTTGGTTATGTTGATGTTGATCTTTCATACATTCTGAAGAAGTTCAAATGCACTTTTAAATTTATAATTTGGCTTCCTTTTTAAGACCTTGCAGTTGTTCCTTATTGTCTGGCTATCAGTTTTGTATTTCTCTGCCTAGCTTCTCCTCTTTCTAACATTGATTTCTGTAGGGAAATTAGTTCCCTGTCCCTAGTACACAGATGAGTACTGTACTATGTCTACATATATATTCCTTGTGAGATATATATGTATATATAGACACATGTATATCCCTTGTGAGAATCTGGTTTCCTTTCTGCCATCATGTGAGTTTTTTCTTTGAAAACATGCCTAGAACCCAACTCTTCTTTTTATCAGTGCCTCTTGAATGTCTCTTCCTTTCTTTGTATGCAGCCATCAGGTTAGTCCTGCCTGTTACTCTTAAATTTAGTTGTTTTCCAGTTTCTCTCATGTAGGCTTTTCTATAGGCTACTGCCAAGCTAATCTTCCTCAGGCATCCTCACAAAGGGTTTACAAGATTTTCCATTTGTATTCAGCACTTAGAGAAGCACTTGTGGCTTATGATTAAGCCATCTCTGAGTATTCAACCAAAGATCTCACTTCTTGCTACTACTCTAAGCCCTCAGTTCCAACCATTTCTGTTTTTCCACTGACTCCTGATTTTTTTTTTTTTTCTTTTTCCCTTTTAACTACATACTTAATTTTGTCCCTTTTGGGAGTATGAGGAGAGAAGTTCTCAGTTCTGGCTTCATGTACTGGTTTAGTTCCTGAATTCTTTATTTCCCTGAACTGTAGAGCACTTAGGGTTACAGTTTGGTTGTTTATTTCTACTGTCTTGTGCTGTTATTTATCTATACTTGTGAATGTGTTATAGGTCCCCAGAGGGCAAAGGTATGTCTTTTCTTTCCTTTATGCTCTCAAAACCTAACACTGTGTTTTATATTCTGTTCCATTTACATGCTTGTTGATTAAATGAATTTCATTTGACTGAACATTCTTTGGTATTTATACTGTTTTACATGAGTACAGTTTATGCAATATTAATTGACCATTCTGTGTATATAATAATAGGAAAATTGTGTAATGTGACAAAAGAGCAGTTGGTTATTAGATTTGATTATTAGACCCAACTTCACCTCCAGTTATGCAGAAAATCTAAATGGTACCCACATTTTCTAATTAATGAGCTCTTGAAGACCAAATGAGAGTTGTTTGGGAGTTTGAGATTGCTATTTTGTATTGACAGTAATAGGTAGGGCTGATGTTCAAGCAGCAATTGCCACTGGGTCACATGTGTTTTGATTGATCAGACATCCTTTCTGATTGGTTGGTACCATTTTGGAACCAGTTGTTAAATATTTTTAATATCACCCCTACAGAAAGGCATCAACAGTCAAGGAGAGAAATGATTAATGTAGGCTGATGTGATTGGGGGAGGCTTTCTGGACACTTCAGGACTTAAATTGAAGGGTAGCTAGAATTCAAGTGGGCAGAGAGGGAGATTTGATGAGTGGTAAGCTGTCCTGAGGCCTACTCCAGGACAGAACCAAAAGTTTTATTGACTGGCTGGCAAGTTCCTCTTTAGAGTTGAGTTCCTTATTCTATACTGGAGGGTTTGGATGTATTAACCACTATTTCTTTCCCCCAGTTCTGAAAACTCTGTAATCTGTGACTGGAAACAAAATAAAAAGGTAATCTAAGTGGGATGAATAAGGGAAAATAATACTATGGGTCGCCCACCAGGGGTAGGCATTCAATTGGTGAAGATTCTAAGTCACTTCAGTTTATAAGGGAAGAAAATAACATCAGAGGTTAGGTGAATTTCTCAGGGTCAGGCAGAACTAAGACAAGAATTTAGATTATCTCATTCCAAATCTGTGCTCTTTAAGGTATGAAGGACTTGGAGTGGGGAGGGCAGGGTTAATGGAGTGACTTACCTAAGTGAAGTTATCTTGAATTTCACAGAACTTATGAAAAGTGACTTCTAATGGACTGTGGGTGGGGAGGGGTGGTGGTAGTGATGGTGGTGGTGGTGGTGGTTAAAAAGTCCTCAAGAGGAGGTAAATATCTTTTTTATACTGATGATAAAAAGACCTGGTGTAGAGCTTATTGACTGAGAAGAGTAGGCTTTAATAGTTTAAAAGATGATGAAACTGGGGTTTAATTAAAATGGATGTAATTGAAAGGCCTTGCAGTTACATGGTCTAGATTTAGAATTTTAGATGATCTCTGTTTTTGAAATTAAATAGGAAACTGACATAAACAAAGTAATGGAGAGGGAGATAAATCTGTTCCTCTGGGAAGGGCTGCTTATGTGTAGACCTTTGCTGAAAGGTTCTTTTAGGCCTGTTGAAACAGTTTATCTGAACTCCGCACCATTCAGGTAGTATCTTTGTAGTGTATCAGATATGTTCATTTCTAATGACGTGGGTTTTGAAAATGCCATTATTTTAAGGATGGCTCTTTTGATGTGAGAACATGTTTCTTCAAACCACAGAGCCCTCTGCACATGTCAACAAACTGCCTGCCTTTTGCTGTTCTTTCTTGGTTGTGGCTTACATAATGCAAGTCCTCTGAACAGATGGACTGTGGTTTATTATCATGTGATTGGGTCACATCTTTGCTTCCTGCTTCTGGAATTGAGCAGATACTGGCATGTTTCTCAGTGATTTTCATGCTTTGTCCCATAGAACTGGCTTGGGAAAACTTTCTTAAAAATTATGGTTTATCTTGACTGAGCCTAGCTCCAATACTTAGCGTAATTAATGCCTTTCTTAATTGAGTTTTTGCAATATCAAATCCAAACATTATTCATAAACAAGTTTGTTGCTACTTTGAAATAGATCCAGTTTTAGCTGTACAGTTTTGGCCCAGATAATGCAGATAGGTTTCTTATGGTTTCCTTTTTTGATATGGACTTATGACTGGTTGATTTGTAGGGCTTTTGCCTTAAGACAATCACTTTCTCAAACATTATGAAGAGAAAGAATAGAGTAAGTCTGGATTCAGTTTGTATGGGTCCAGTTTTATAGATCAGATCTGGCCTTTTGTAAAACTGCTCTCTTGTTTTGGCAGTCCAGGAGAA